ATATTCGATTGAATGAGATGCATGGTGCATCTTGATGCATGAACAATGTCGACTATTTTCAAGCACTAATCAAGCATGTATAAGATGTTTTGAGCTGCCTTGAGTTATAGCGGTTTTTGATTGGCTAGTTTAACATGGTAATCTTTCGTACTCCTGTTTAGGTACAACACCTACACCAACAATACCAACAACGACAAAGGAAGACATCACTGATTCAGACGGTCTCAGTACAGAAGCTAAAATCGCAATCGGTGTTGCGGTCCCTATTGTTGTCATCTTAATCATTGTACTGGTATGTTGCTGCTGGTACAAGAAGAAGGAAAAAAAGGGGGAGGAAAGTAAGTAATTTGTTTCACAAAGCATTTGTATAGATGTTTTTAATTTTTTAATGTAAAATGTTTCTATGTTAACGTGGCCATATTCCTCACTTTCTTATTCAACTGTCATATGCAATGCTTTGAATTATAATTCAGTGATAGTTCAGCTTTCCTTTAAAATCGTGCTCTTTCTATTTAGATATTTCTCTCGAAGAAGGGAGTCCCTACCGGTAAGTACAATTTATAATAGCGTTATAAAATACATTAAATTATCAAAGGATATCATTGTACGTTCTTTTTGCCAATTCTCCTTTGCATTCAGCTCAAATGAATGTATTTGGTGATTCCTAATAATGTATGATGATCAAATATGTTTTTGCACCAATAAAATTGCATGCATATTCCTTCACAGCCCAGTGAATGGTGAAGAGAACCTAGGATTATCCGAATCTCAGACATCCTATGCCCAGTCTGGTCCAAAATCTGATCATAATGGCCAACCAACCAACAACAACCCAGACACAGGCGATGGAACGGCTACATATGCAGCAGTGGACATGTCTAAGGTATACGCTACAAAGCTTCTGGTAATTCTTCACATGAGTAGCATTTTCTATACATAACTTAATGTCGGCCATGTTAATTCATTTGGCGAGTATATCATGGTATTGATAAAAATATCAAGATGACTACGGAGGATGAATTGGACGAGTATCCATTATTCCAAGAAGAACGCATAAATTAGCCGATTTTGAACTTTATGAAGCATGAGTTTATGAACTAAATTTTGCTACGTTTTGTGTTTTGTTCTTTTCCCCTCCATTTATACAGAAGAAAAAGAAGAAGCAAGAAGGAGAAGTACTTTATGCAGATTTAGATTCAATGCGACCTGGCAATAACAAGGGAACTGAACTGCAGCCGATGTCTTCAAGTGGAAACATTCCTGACAAGAGAGAAAGTGATTATGCTTCCATCGATTTTTTCAAAACACAAAAGCAAGGTAAGTTGAATAAATCAATGATGAATCTACAAGGCGTAGATTATAAAACGGAGGTGTATTTATTCCCTTGTATTTTCACAATCAAACGAAGAAAAAATGAAACAACTGTCAAAACATGTAGAGAATGAGATTTGTAAATAGTTGAAAATATGTCAATAGATTGTGAAATACAATAAAAAACAAATGAGTTACCTCTAAATACTGACAAACTGGTTTCTTGTTTGTGGATATTTAAAAGGGGACTATGATGAACATAAATGAAAATTAAGAATGAGTTGAAATGCGGTTTGAGTTTTCCATTTTTCGTCATGGACCACAAAGCAACGCAAAATATTTAGATTCATGGAAGACGTATCAGATCTTATGAAATTATAAGCATTGAAATTTTGAGTAAGGTAAAAAATTAAAATTCAGAATAGAAATTAACAATGAAATATTGTTTTTTCCAAAGATCATATTTTTGTTTAATTAGGTAAGTTTTAACAGCAGCTTTGAATGGCTTTATTTTCTTCGTGTTTTCTATTTTTTAGGTGAAGTCAAAGAGTACGAATGTCTTGGCACTTTTACGTTTACTGACAGAAAATACAACAAAGCTTTAGACAATGAAATGACTGATTCTTTCAAGAAGTTAAGAGATGAAGTTAACAAAACGGTAAGTAATCGAGATTCATTACATTCATTTGTTTTTATACTATCACAAACCAGACAGTCATTTTCTTTGTGAAGACAATCTCAAAATGCTTAAACGCTGACTCTGATTGACAGTCTCACAGTTTCTTAGTTAACTACTATAGCAGAAGTCTCCTTCGCCAGCTTTCTTTGTGGGGCMTTCTTTGTAGGGCTTTCTTTCGATAGCTTCGCCAGCCTCACAAGAAATCAGGTATTTAATGTAATGTTGGTGGACATGATTTTTATAAACAGGTCAAGTCTGCATATAAAGACGATACCAATTTTGTGTTGGTTGAAGCAGAGCATTTTAAGTAAGTGAATCGTCTAGCAATGGTGAATTAAGTGATTATTTTTGACATCAGTCTCGGGCTCCGCCTTTCCATCCACGCAAAGAATTGATGTTTGCGGTAATAACTTTGTTTTGTTTTTTGTTTTGTTTTGTTTTATTTTGTTTTATTTTGTTTTGTTTTGTTTTGTTTTGTTTTGTTTTGTTTTGTTTTTTGTTTTGTTTTGTTTTGTTTTGTTTTGTTTTTTGTCTTCTGTTTTGTGTGTGTGTTGTTTTTTACGTTGGTACGATTTCCGACGTTTGTACAGTCAATCCCATAGCTTGATGTTCTATATTTTTTGTAAAGAAATTACAAATATGATATATAATGCAAACTTTGTGTCTGTCTGTATGTCTTTACAACTGAACGGCAACGTTAAGGCACTCGGCGGTCAACGGCGATGGATATAAAGTTGTTGCTGTTTTAGTTTTTGTTGATTTATTCAATATTTTGTTTCTCTTCGCTGTTGTTTTATGTCTGTTTTTTTTTCGAAGCGTTTATCGTTCGAATTTATGTCTATATAGGTGGGATCCACATGGTACTATTGTCATTTTCAAGCTGATCTTGAAAGAAAAAGTAGCCGATCCATTCTTGCCTTTGAAAGAGGCCTTAGAAAAGAACGGAGGAGTTGTAGGCGCGATGAAAATCATTCCCCAGAGTGTAAAWGGTTTGTAGCTATTTTGCTCTAATCGACTGAATTGTTAACTAATTTACTTCTCTCACGAGACAAACGGAAAAGTAGTTTGGATATGGGTAGATAAAACGACAGCATATCATACGTTAGATATTGGCAGAAAAAATGTGCATGTTACCGTACTTCATAAAAAATGCGATGTTTAGAGTGATTCACGTGTTGTTTTGTTCTAGTAATTTATTTTAAGCGTAAAACGGTTATAAGCGACTTCAAAAGGTATTCTCTACGACCAGGACCAAGGGTACACTCTGCATTGAGTGTCTAGTTTCAATTTATGGTCGATCTAAGACTGATTAGTATAAACATACTAATGGTCTATCACTCATAYTGCGCTGTGATTGGCTACTCTACTAATGGTCTAATTTGTGATAGACCACTCGCGGGAAAATCAAAATGGCGGCATCTCATTAATAAATTATTTTRAGGATRTTTCAATTTGTTTTCATTATTTGACCGATTAGTATGTTTATACTAAAACAATTAGACCTCTCGGCCTCGTGGACTGCGAGCTAATAGTCCATTCGGCCTCGCGGACTCGGCCTAATAGGCTATTAGCTCGTAGTCCACTCGACCTCGAGGTCTAATTGTTAATTAGAAATGTGTTAGATTCAAAAGTCGTGTACAGTATCACTTCAAAATTGCTCTATCTACTTTACATCTACATACTGGCTAACGATCATACTTGCTAAGAACAGCAGCAGGTCATTACYAGAGACATGTTCACATTTTTTGTTCACATTTGCAGAGCATGAAGAAGAACAGAACGCTCCAGGTGAACAAAAGAAAGCACAAAAGCAAGACGAGGCTAACGCTGCAGGTAATATAACCTACAATACAAATGAACGAAAAGAGACATTTTGCTTTTTGAATGGATTTAGGCATGAAAGATACTTTATTTTTATAAGAAATTTTTTCAGTGTTACGTGTTCACGAATTACCTCAGGAGACAATTAGTATATTTTCTCTAAACTTTACTTGTTTTGATGCATACTATGGTTATTATCTCGAGCTCTACTGTCCYGGGTGACTAGCGTTGGATATAATTGTTTTAATCCTGACCTCAATTCGCCTTCAGTTGCCGATTTAGCAATGATTCACAATTTAGCATTACCGGTGGCGAGTTTGGGAAAAGCAAAATTTAGTTGCTTGAACAATTTGATGCACTTCACCAACAATAAAAAAATGCGTGGTTTGTATCAGCCAAAGACGGTTGTCGTCTCATGACACAAAGACRTCTGTGAGAAYCAATTCTTTTCTTCGTTTTAACCAAGYTTTTTTAAATAAGCCTATCTAATTCTAGAATGACAGAACACTTGTTATTGATAATCCTTGAATTCATTTCTTTCCCTTTTGATTACCAGCCAAAYCCAATGTAGGGTTCCTTGGAGGAAAGGAAACTGAAAGCTCCAACCAAGACAACTCTTCCCCGGAGAGTCAGGGTAAGGAGGAACAGGAATCCATCACTAAATTGTGACTTCCCTAGAAGATATTGGCATACTCAACATGACCGAATATTTGAGCAGATTTCGTATGATTTTGAAACTGCTCAGATAACAGCATGAGAAATCCACGGTACCTCCTCTGAACCATTGCGGTAACGACATRCGATTCACTGAATCCATCCCGGCTAAGTTACKTATGATCACAGTACAAGGKCACTGTACCTTATGCTCATTCATACGAAGTCTGCTCAACGTTATAGGRCAAACGTTTGCCAGTGTAACTAAATGAGTGTTTTAGTCATATCTGGTGCGGCCAAGCCCGATAAGTTGTCCAGCTGAAAAGATATGAAAGGCAACAATATTCTCATTTTCTTATGAACATTTTCATATTAGCAACATTGCGATATATTGCATTGTATTTTGGTATACCTAATTGAATTAACATTCTCAGTTCTAAAAAGACGATATTATCAAAGCTAACACCGAACGGGATTCAGGAAGTACTCAGAAATTCAAATAAAAGTTACCTAAACATGTTATAATGATATAACAATACTCGTAATTATTCAATGCAGGCAATCGGTTGAACTCTGAAACACTGTTATATTCTTAGCATTAGTCTTAGATTTCATGATGTAACCCTTTGGAACCRGACTACCTTTTTACAATTAGGTGTACATACAAATGATATTCTTGTTGTCTTTATGTCTCCACAACTGGACAGGCTTATCGTAAATGGATGTATATAATTTATGTTCTTAGCCTCGAGTGCATGCTAAACATCAGTATCAAAATTAAAGCTTTCTAAACAAAGTTAAACCAAGTTAAAACAGTTAAAACGCAGTATTTTAGCTCATTAAACATGAATCTTCCCAAAGGATTCTATCGCATAGTGAAATGAAAAATGCTTCATATTAATGTTTAAAACTAAAAGMGAAATTTATAATATTGAATTTACGTGTAGAAGTATTTTTGTACTGATAAAAACATTTTTAGGGTAAAGAATTTTTTATTGTTGAAAACATGTTGCCAACAGTGTCTGCTTTAAAAGGTAAAGCGCTTTTGTAATAACAATAAACTGTAAAGTTTTCTGTTAAAAACTTTTTTCACCAAAAAGTCTTGATCAAAGAGATCACTTTTACATTTTCTCATGAAAAGGGTTTTAGCTCTTTTGTACACAAAAGACTATATTCGTTTTCATCGCTAAACCAATAGCACATTTTATAACTATTTTATAACTAAAATGTTTTAACATTTAAAGTTTTAAGTTTAAAAACTTTAAAATAAAATTGTTTCAGTTTTTCAAAAAGTACATTTACTAAATGTAAACAAAACATATAGTATCGAATGATAGAAGTCGTTCAAGAAAAGTAAAGCTGGTTTTGCATGATGTTCGCGTACATGATTTCAATATTATTTGTTCTCAGCCTGACGAGAGTTATTTTACAAACGATAACGGAGCGAAAGTCACGTAAGAAAACCTGCATGTCACTGCATAAAACGTATTTTTGTTGTTATTTTAGGTGTTAATGTTTAGAGCTGTCATAATAGTAGCAAGGTAAAGCTGTTTAACAGTAAGTTAATTGCTTGTAATTTAGCCTAATTTAGTATTTTAAAGTTAAAGTAATGCTAAAGTATTACTTTGCGCCACGTAAACTTTGCGTAACKTTTGCGTGTTATTATGTAATAATTCCACTTTTTACCATGTGGGGTGTTATATATATTTTTTTAAGGATCGTTTCTATTGCAAAATCTCTCTCATCTGTTCAACTTCTCAAAAATGTCTGATTTACCATTAGGTTCAGTCTCTCCGCGCACTAGAAAACTGTTCAGTTACCGTCTTTTTAAAGGGTCACTCTCATAAAATGCGAATGTGTGAGGAGTTCTAAAGGGGTGTATATAAAAACAATGGCATCCCTATAGAGCTAGGCTTCATTTTTGGAAGAATAGAAAACCAACTTGAGATCATTATTTTTGTATTGCTGCTGGGTGGTGATCATAATGCATTTGCTTCGCTTTTGATTGAAGCGGCTTAGGTGGTACAAATGAGAGAAAGTGTCATTATGCAGCCTATCTTGAAAAGGTTGTCCACCTAATAAGACATCKCCAATGTTCTAATTCCCGCGTGGCCATGAAAATATTTACTTTCTGTTCATGTACTGAAAATGGTCTAGAATTTCAGGTGTGTTTTAGTGGAGAACTATGACAAATTACATTTTTWAAATTGTATATTGGCATCAAAGAATGCTCCACATGCAAAAACTAATTATATATCAAGATACGTGACAATTGGAACATTGGAAGTGTATTCTCTAGGTGGGAAACCTTTTCAAGGTCGGCTRTATGTATATTCCTTTTAAGGMAGCTCACAAAGTACATGGRAGAACCTACAAACCTTAGGGCTCCGGTCCATGAGGAGTTGGATTTAGCCGTAACTTAAGGCACATGTATTACATAACTAACTTTAAATGGAAATACGATGTGTCATTTTGAGCGATCGTAGGAAACGTCACTAAAATGGTTTAATGACCTGATGATTTGTTTGCTTGCCTTTGAGTGCATTTTGATCAAATGGGCAAATGTACATGGACGCCATTTGGTATAACAAAGGATGATGGGAGTTTCTGTTCTTGAACTTTAAATAAACAGTGCTAGGACGACGACTCACGTCATGGCCTTTTCTTTGATTTATATAAAAAATCGAAAAAAGAAATAAATTCATTCATGAGAGACTGAATTAAAGAGTTACCTTCCAATTGAGCCAATGAGAATGCAGAATGTTTATAAAATTTTGACTAGCAAGTAGTGATTACKTCTAGTGTAATTTTTGAACAAGCGCTAAAAATGTAGCGCTGATTACATCTAAAAACAGCYAGGGGATTATGTAYAAGTCAGTCAGGCTAATTTGGCTCTTCATGGAATAGAGTKCTGAGGTTCCCTGTACTTACCGGATTAAGCTAAAGGAGGGTGCACCTCCTGACTGGTCCCCTTGTCGAGTGATTCTAAATGTTGTTTTGTTTTGTTGCTTTTTTAACAAGACTAGATTTTTAAAAAGTGCGACTAGGAAATTTTTATAGTACCAGTCATTTGATAATCTATWTGGAGAAAATTCTGAGTAATAAATTCAATGGAAGCTCAACGTTGACCCTCGGACTGTGATGATGTTTTTTTCGGAATATATGTTTTTTGTTACCCCATATATCTACTTCTCATTGATCTGGATGCTAGTTTCAATAATGGCAATTTCAGCTGCATGTTTGCATGTTAAAGCACGTTTTGCGCTAAAGGCTCCTTAAAATTACTGTTATGCGTGCTGTTAATGCGTAATTACCTCACTAACTTAGGCACCGTCCACACGATGACGGAAATTTTCTTATCCGCAAATGTTTTGTGGTTACAATTATTTGTCTCGTCCACACGTATCTGGAAATTTTCGAAAATGCACTTTACCATGGAAATGCCCAGAAAAACTCCGAATACGGATACGTGTGGACGCGAAAATGTTTGTATCCGCAACGAAAAAATTGCGGATATATAAWTTTTTTCGTCATCCTGTCAGATGGACCTTAATGTGATAAAATGTTTTTTCTTTGTGTAGCTGACATGTCTGCCTCAAGAGACAACACGACAATGACAACAGTGAGCCTCTAATCATCTCTAATCGACTAACATATCACGTGACATACGTCATTCATTCACCAGGTATCGTAGTAATAGCAATGAATGGAAGCGATAACTGATTCATAGAAAATTGCACAATGAATTTAGATATACATTTTAGATAAATAGGTTTTGCCTCAAATTGTTTATATACAAATATGTAATATAAGCTGTCTATTAATTGATGGATATGGACAAGTCGCCAATATGACATTGTATGTTTGTATAGTGATTATATACTGTATAAATAGAAAATCAACACATGTTAAATTTCACCACCATTTAAAATTTAAATGCATTACAAATGTCTCAAAGACAAATGGCACTAAACCAAATTCGTTATGAAATCACAGCAAAATATTCCATTCTTGAACGATATGGATTAAGTACGATAAGTACGATAAGATGGCACTGATTGTCTGAAACAAAAAAATCATCAAATTGAAAGTTAAACTTTCCAATAGAGGGATTTTGCTGTGACGTCATAATGAATTATCACACTGACAAAGTGCCATCAATCAATATATATTTTTAGTTATCATTTATAAATCTTATAAATTTCAATTCAATTCTAGGAAATGTAAAAAAATTCAATTTCACATTTATAATGAATTCCACTTACAAAATGTATAAATGTCTCATTTTTTAGACAAGCAAACACGTTTCTTGCGTTGGAAACATAGTAAATATCTTTAAAAAACSCGTTTTAATAATAGAATATACATATTTACAATTCATCACAATTAGGTCAAAGATACAAGCACTTCAAACGAAGTATCATAAAGCGTGTTATACAATATGGCCAAATATTTGAATTTTATCAATTGTTTTTATTCATTAGTGTGTAATTGTGTAGAAGTGTTCTTTTTATCCATACTATAATATTGGCGTTATTTTGGTTAACATTGCACAATAAGGACAAATAAGTTCAAGGAATTTTGATAAGGAATTTGTTCACCTTACTCGGAAGACTAATAGAAAGCTTATTCTTGGAATTATCGCTTACCAGTCTCATAGAAGTATCAATAGATATGTCTTCTTAGTTTCTAAATGTKTGATTTAAAAWKTTTTRTTGTAATAATACAAAGATAACTGGTTTACACACATTGACTAAATGAWTCTGCACTTAAAATTATCGTAAGTTTGTTTTAAAAATAATCTTCCCTTAAATCGCTATCTTATCGTTAATAGCACATTATAGTGACTTTACCTTCGATCACCGATAACTAGAATATGTTTTAGTAAATAGAATTTAAATGTATTTTTAGACTGTTAGAACAATGTAAACCCAGACACGTTTCTCCTACCTATAATAAGATTGTGTATTGTTAACAATTTTGAACAAACTGTTTGATTACTGAAYCCTTGTAATACTCGATCAAACCGAGTTGTTACGTTAGGAGAAATACACCTTTCAAATGATTAGACATTCGTCCTCCTTTCTTGTAAGGAGGTGTGGCGGATCTAGGGGTAGTGCGATGGGGTCRGCTGCACAAGCAAYAGCAATTATCACCTCATATATATCAAGCAAAAAAGCTGAAAATCTGGACCCCGTTTTAGATAATCCTTGATCCGCTAATTGGACTTGACTCTCAATTTACTTGATATGATTATACTGTAGTTCTGACAAGTTATAAATTGCATGARCTCTGTTTAAGTTTGTAGTTAGAACAGAGTGTATGACATTGCTTTTCCTTCTGAAGTAAAGGCTTTGCGTATGGCTCTGTGGCAAGTATCAGTGATGATAATTATCATCCCTAGTGCCTTAGTAAAATTKCATTTATCCATGTATCCAATGATTACACTCGTATAGCCAGCTATCTGCACAACGATCTGAAATGGGTATTAAGCTATAACGATTGATGGCCATTAGGTCATCTACCTTTCTATATTTAACATTATTATAGATCCTCACTTAGGTAAGTACGCGTATTTATTCCTAAAGGAGCCCATAAAAGATCGAYAGATGTGTAGTTCTTATTAACTGTTCAATAACAGTGCATCATTATCAGAACACTTTGAAAAAGGATGGAAATGTAAAACACGAAACATACGCTGMGAAATGTGATATGTGAAGYATTAGTTGTTGGTCATATTTCCAAGATGGTTAGTGCTACCTCATTGGAAAGTTAGGGGGAAATTATCGATTAACGTCAGAGAACCTCCTCTCCGGTTGTCGTAGTTATAATATATTTAAACACGAAGATTTATTTTTCTTGGAAAACGCTTCCAAGAAAAGGAATTTTACGTAGTTCAGAAGACAACAACTGTACTGGTGTTTTACGTTTCAATCTCTTGAGTTTATGCATGCACACCTATAGKTAAACAGGTCCGCTATAACTCATATACTCTATATACAAACCTTTTTAATAATAGTTATTGTTCGTTTATATGATTTATTAGAAATTGACACCTACAATCACAATTTGTACACCATAGAATATATAAAAACACCCAAGACTGATGTATATGGGACCTACGAGATAGCTTCAAAGAAAATATATATTATTCAATTCAGAAAGTTGATATAATTTCACCGAGGAGGCAGTTAATACCTGTCCATAGAATTCAAATAACTCTTTTTGAGTCCRCCCAAAGAGTTTTAATCTACTCTGAAGTAGAGGTAACACTATTTTATCGATATTTTAAAAAGTATTTTTTCACTCCTTTCTGAGCCATGTTATGGCTTTATTTGTACTCCACATAATTGAGTTATATCAACTTTCTAACACAATTTTGCATAAGATTGGCTTTGATCGTTTAAGAAACGATCTGTAGTTAGAAATTCGCCTCTAGATTGCACTTGAGAACTGATCCAAATACGCTTCTTTTTCCAGATTGATTTATTCATGTCATCGATAAGTTTTCACAAAGTATCGCCTTATYGATTGAGTTTTGAATTTTTTTTCTGCAATTAGTAAAGTGATCGTTTATTTGAGAAAGAGAAGAGTATTTTACACTTCAATCAAGGCATTAATATGTTATGCTTAAAGCAAGAAAAAAACTAAATAAAACAAAAATTCACCCCCAACACATTGTTTTAATGAGTTTCAACAGACATCATTGCATCGCGTATTCGTAGTTTGGAATAGACCTAATTGGCTAACGCGTTGCTATAACGTTTCCACCAAATTCAATCCAACCGAGAGTAAGTTTCATTGTTCGTTGTATTTTCATTTCACAGCGGAATTCTTGGAAACAAAAGTTCTTTTTCACCGGGTTTGAATTGGGTGGTAACGCACAAGGCTACGCGTTAGCCGATAAGGTCTATTTGTTCTTTTCTGCTACATGTGGCAGGGCGTAAGCGGACATTACTTCTACGAAACCGAAAATATTTATATAAACATGGTAAATTCGGCTGTGGTCCGTGTGAAAGAGCACAGGAAGTTCTGGTGTTATGTCGTTCAAGGGCCGGATTTATGATGGATCAGTATAATTATCTACTATTTGAGTTTTCCTTCCAAATCAGTGATGGCAGGGAAATAAGGGGGGAAGAAGAAAAAACAACAACGAGCACCAAAAAGAAAAGTCAAAAACATTCAACAATATCGTTGAATCTGAGAGCTCATCCCGCAAACATCGCAATTTTGTGGCCAAGCCTGCGTTGATATCAGCATCCATTGGGAGTGATTAATGCAAAGGAAGGACATTGATGTAACACTTACAGTAGGAATAACACTTCACTTCTGACCACGTCTACAGATAAGATACAATACAACCTTATTAAACAGTCCATTTCATTTGTGGGATCAAGCCTCCTCCCCAGGTAACTCTTTTTTCCTTCTAGTGACGACCCCTCTTGTCCCCATTCATCCTCTTCCGACTCGCAAAAAAAGAAAAGCCGGTGATTTTAGTGACGGAGGAGGCTGTTGTTATACAAGTACATGGTACAATAATAGTGAAAGTAGATCTGAAAGTATTCTATTCTTGAAATTCCAGTACAGGCGGGAATATCTTCGTTCCACTGATAGAATAAATCCATTTTATACACATGGACTCCAAGCTATTCCCACCTGAAAATAAGAGTTTATTCCCAAAAGCAAAGGCCGTCGAGCCCGAGAAATGTATGTGGCTTGTACCCGACGTTCGAGTCCAAAAGGAATATTTAACAATTAGACCTCGAGGGCGAGTGGACTACGAGCTGATAGCCCATGAGGCTGAAGGACGAATGGACTATCAGTTCGTAGCCCACGAGGCCGAGAGGTCTAATTATTTTCAGTATTACCTTACTAGTTGGGCAAAAAATGAATGAGATATATAAATAACAAAATTGTTTTATATTGCTAACAATTCGCGCTTACGGGTTTAATTAAATTTGCATAAATTATCACCGACTTCGTTGACACGTTTGACATGTGAAAATTTTGAGTTAACAAATTTAAAATGGTCCTTAACACATTGCACATTTTGACCTACAATATTTCTAAAAGAAAATCAAAATTGGCGCTTTTCACCCCCGTACTCCCTTATATTCACTACATGGGTACGTGCCGCCAACCAGGGTTTCAGCGATTTTCTGGAACAGGGTATCGTTTCTGGAACTTTCAAAGATGGGCTGCCTGTGGAATGACTTCCGAGAATAATTGTTTCAGGTACAGGTGTAAACAAGCGACTTAAATTGATATGATTTCAAACCACATAACAGGATATAACGAACGTGTTGGTAATGCAGGGACTATTTGTAAGTAAAATATGTTATATTTATATTTTAACTCTATATGATCTACTGGTCAGTTCGCTCAGCGTGGAAGTTCACTCACCGTGATGAGTTCGCTAGGCGTTTGTTTATAGTCTGTTGTACTTATCATTTCCGGTCACCCGTTTCCCATGGGAATTTATAGATGCAATTTATAGATGCATTTTCGAAAATGCAACTGAGAGAATCTGATAAAACAAAATTTCAAATGAATGTTTTTGGAAACTGTCGCTATCGAGTTTCCAAGAACTACTAAAACGTGGTCATTACATGTAATATTTATGTAGATTTTGAACAATAGAAAGTCACTCTCGGATAACAACTGAAGCATTTCATTATTATCATAAAAACGTGATAAAAATCTGATTCGATTCTAGATGTATTTTCAAGATGCTTTGAACACGTCTAAACTCGTCATGACGATATTTACTATCAAGTATTATATTTAGTATCGAACTTTTTGTCAAATGTTAAAGCTATCAATTATTTAATTTGCATAATTTCCATATTGAATTTAGCCGGGCTGTATTACATGCAACGTGAGAGAAGTACATCACATTCAAGATGTTGACCTACTTATCGATAATATTAGAACTTAAGGTTTTTGAAATATATACAGATGCTCACATTTTCGTGCAATGTTACATTCGACAATCATTCAATGTGCTCTCGGTAACCATGGCAGTCATAATTCTCGACAGCCATTTTTTTCACAGTCCCAACGTTAGCAGTCTCTATTTTGGGGAGGGACATGATCCCGACAAACGTCCGTGGTCACATAGGACCACATAGTGCCTGCAATGATTTCTGGTCCAAACATATACCACAGACCACGGTGGCAGTGTTTCATAGGAATTTTTTCGTTCTTTTAAAGTCTAAGAAAAAGGATTTCCAGTGGCTCCTACTTTGGACTTTAACGTCGCTTCGACGACCTTCATCAAGTCTTCGTGAAGTCGGCCATTGCTTCGCATGCAATGGAGAACCCGCGTAAAACACAGACCAATTATTTTTATCAGGAAGGGGAGTCTCGTGGTATTAAAGAAAAAATTATGTTATTAGCGGGCTACTAGCTGTGCTAGCCAGCTATAGTTTTACCTTTTCTCCACTCTGTCGAGTCGTAGTTTCCAGTCTCTCTCGAACCACAGGAAGCCATATCTATCATATCTATAACAGCAGGGACATTTGTCTGCGCATGCGTGAGTTAAATAGAATACATGGCGCGCGGTATCTGGCGGGAAAGTTTGAAGATGTAAGTAAACATGGCGAAGGCTATGTTGAGAGCTGGTGTCCTCTCTTTTGTATTCATTTGCGTGTGTTTTACTCTTCCCATGAATAATGAAAGAAGTCGTTTTGTATGTAGATGAAACTGTGCAAAAATAGTCCAATTTAGGGTAAGTTTAAGAACTTGTTTCGGCATAAATACGAGCAGTGATTCAATTATTCTACYCGRAGGTGGAMATTTKTACTAAAATTCGCACGTCTTTGTACGTTGATTTGAGATATCCATGCAATTTTCAAAGGCGAAATTACAATGCTATTCTTTTTAGAATTACACAAGATTTTAATTTAGGTAGGTTTCCTTTCTCCATCATGTTGAACTCTAGAAAAAAGAGAAAACCTTTCGATTGAAGCTTAGTCCGAATTCTTGGTGNGTTGATAGTTGATATATGATAAGATTATAGCAGACAGTGAAGGTTAACGATTAGTTTCCAGAAAAGAATATTGCGGTGCACGATAAGAATTGAACTGCAAAGAAAACTAAGGTATTCTACGGCATATTTTACTTTCATATATAGTTACGTCATAGTCACAATATTCATTGGAGATACAATTTTATCTTGTATTGAAAATCTTTTGCTAAGCTAGCCCGCATCACGCTTTACAAGCGTCTAGTTTCATTTTAAAGTGCACCTTCACGATTTTTTTTTAAATCTTTAAAATGAAAATTGAAGTTAATGGAAACGTATCTGTGAAAAGAATTTTTCATTTTTAATTTTTCCGATTTCGTCCCAACCGTTTACAAAATAATCACCAAACTTTCACAGAAAGTCTTACAAGGTTCATAAAAMTTGTTTTAGATAATAAAAAAAATCGTGAAGGTGCACTTTAAATATAAAATTCTATTTCTGTAACGTTAGAAACCAGTCACGCCCCAATTCTATTGTTTTATGTAGTTTTTGAGGTAATTCGAGGTAAGACCTGCATTCTAAAAGACGGGGGCGGCTTTGATTATCAGCAGGGGAGTGCGGGGCTGAATTCAAAACCCGGGACAGGTCTTACATTTCATATCAAAACCTGTCCCGGGTTTTGAATTTTCCTTTTCAGAAAAGAGTAGAGGACTGGGGCCGAGTTTCAAAAATCTGTCCACTTAAAAATAAACTTTATCAGAAAAAGAATAACATTATAATTTGTAAGTCTACAAGTTTCACATGCTTTGTTTAAAGGAGAACTGAATTACAAACTTTGAAAAATTTTAAATTTAACAGAGTCATGGTTGGTAGGGACAGTTGTTCCTACTTTTGTTCGCAAATATAAACATTTTCAAATTTCTAAAGTTCAGCTCTCCTTTACTAAAAGCATGTCAAAGTCGATAAACTCACTAATTTTGCTGTTATTCTTCTTCTGATCAAGTATACCTTTGAGTGGRCCAYTTTTTGTAACTCGTTACCAGTCCTCTACTCGTTTCTAAAAAGGCAAATTGAATAAAACAAAACGAAAACAGGGAGTTATTCAATTCTCGATTCGTCATGTTTAGCAAAGTTTTCGATATAAGAGCTTGGGAGGATACTTCGTTGCCAATTCTTATATTTCGCTCGTTACACCAGTCTTCGAACATCTTTATGGCCCATGCGTCTTTATATAAAGTCGATTTTGGAATGGACTGCTTGATTTTCGATGCGACCTCGCTTGCTTTCATAGGCTCTCCAAACCTAAACTCTCAATTCGCTCTTTTTCCTCGGCATTTGGTTTAAGAGCATCACCTCCAAGCAGGTCATGCAGATTATCCACCGTGAAGTTTGATAAAGTTTGACTCGAAGAACATTGTGGCGCGATAAACATTTCCCAATCTTCATCTTCAGATTCAGCCATCTTTGCTCAAACTACGGCTTACATGAAGAAACTGAATTCATAATCAATCTATTAAGGTTTTTAACCATTCCCAAGAGTAAATAAAAAAATGAATGAATGCATAACAAAAAAGACTTGACATTGAAAGACATATATGTTAATAAACAATCGATAATTTGAAAATCATATTGAAGCAATAGAATTGGGGCGTGCATCTCAAAGCTGCGTGCTCTCAATATTATTGAAATAATTCTATTTGACAGTCTCTTTAATGAGGTGTTGTTTATCAGAGACCTATAGCTATCCTTAAACACACAATCGGACTCAAATCGTTCAAGAATGCTTCGAACAATACGCTATGTATTCCCAATAGTGTTGTAACATGTTTACTACAAGCTAAATCCAACAAGTTATACGTTTAAAATGGCGCCTTAACAGGCCGAAACGTCGAGAAAATAGGTATGGCAAACCGTACTCGGTGCACCAAAATTGTCATAATTTTGCTGGTATTTTTGTTTATAAGCATCACAAATAGCGAATGCCTATTAAAGATTTTAAATTACGGAGTGTCTAAACGTCAGGCAGCCTAATTTTTTCTTATAAAATCGTCGGAACAACCATAATTTCAATTTTCAACTAAGCAGTTCAGAACAACTCATAAAAATAGTAAGTGAGCTCAGTTTTCTGTATTGCTTACCACTGTCTTCCTCAATAACTTCTGCACAATGATAATTGTTGCATCCGTAGCATTTTTGACAACGTTTTCCAATTTTTTCATGAGGTCTTCTATTTCGACGGCATTTCATGCCTTTTTTACAATCGTTATGTAGTTTTTTTCTGATATTATATGCGATGAACAAAAAAAAAATCCTTTCTCCTTGCAAAAAACAATATTCGATTTCAACGGATTTGCTCTCTTTTTTTTCTCTATGACGCCGACCTCGGTTTAATGCGCGCGTCGCGCAAATATGTGGGAAGAATCCAGGAAGTTCCATTGCATAAACAAGCATCGATATCATAACCCGATAAACTAAAGTTTATTAATGATTGTTCATGTACATTTTCTGTGACATTCAGATATCCGTAAAGTAGCGGAGTGTCCGTAAGGCGAGAGTTTACTGTATGCCTTTTTCTCATTCGAAGAAAGCGACCGCTGTTTTAGTTGACAGCAGTCTCTCATGCTAAAAACAAGCGAAATAACGAAAAAATGACAGCAGACCGCTTCACGTCAGTCAGTTTCTGAACTGAAAATTACGAGGCTGAGTAATATCAAAACTGGAAACCAAAAGTCATTCATAATTGTAAAAGTGTTTCTGTTTGCAAGATCGCTACAGTCAACTCTCGCCTTACAGACACCCCGCTATTACGGACACCTCGATATTACGGACACGAAACAATGAATCCCTGGCAAAAAAATACAAAGAAATGACTGAAAGTAGCTCCCGTTATTAAGGACTCTCGCTACTGCGGACACCAAATTACGGTCCCGAAGATGTCCGTAATAGCGAGAGTTGATCGTCACGGTTCACGCAAGAATCATTACACAACACGTGGTGCCGACTAGAAAAGGCGCTGCTGCTTACGAGGATTAAACAAGTTCCTCTTCGGAGAAAACGATCAAGCTAATTTGGAAGTTATGACTGGACTTGATCACTCAAATTGTGTAGTCATCAAAATCATCATTTTTCGATTATTGCACGTTTTTCTAGACAGCAAGCAAAATACAAGCTGTGGACGTGGTGCATGGCTTTTCATTATTATTGAGATGTGGCTTTTGTCAACAGGTAAAAAGAAATCATTTGAATTACAACCAGACATAGCTTTGTTATTATTCATATTGATAGAATTAGAAGAGGGAAGCTCAGAACTGAAGTTTAATGACCGAATGAAATCTTTTTGCTTATACTTCCTTGTGAAAAATCATACGTTTGATAATACGTTTAGATTTCGATCATAGATAAAGGTCATTACCCCGTGTTTACGAAAACCTTATTGCAATTGTGATTAAATAATATAAGTAAATCAGAATCTATAATACCAAAATCATAAATGTATATAGCCACTTAGTTATCCCAGACTAGGTTTATTTTGAATAATTGACAGGTTTTCATTTGGATATTTGCTATGAGTCCTCTTGTTGGCTATTACCTATTTGGAATAATACATGGCTATATATATATGATTGCTAGTTAATAAGACTTCATTCTGCCCAATTAAGGAATAGTTTGACTTCACAAACTCCTCTGACTGCCAAATTGAAATCGGATAGCGGCCTCGTCAAAGTTTTGTCAGTTCACAGAAAATTGACTCGTTCAATAATTTCTTTATTGGACAGCATGGAGTGCTACTACATACAACAATACAATAATTGAAACTGACATAAGCAAGCATCAAAAAAGACACTTTCGATATGCTGTATCGATATACTGTATCGCCTCGTGGAAAGGCTTGCGTCACAAGTCTGTTTCAATTTCTAGGACAGAAAGGGTATAGTAAAGCAAAGACAGTATCGTCTTGTTCTACTCATTCTCATATGATAAACCTCTAAAGCAGCGACAATATTTGATTCAAAAAAATCTTAGCGCCTTTGAGTAAGAGTAAAAGTTAGTAGATTCAATAGAAAATCCAGTAGATAGACTTTTCAAATTACAGAAGATATATATAGATAAAGGGATGGATTCAAGTGCAAAGAATACTAAAACAATGAAAAAGTTAAGTTATAAAATAGTGCTAGATTGTAGAGTGAGGGATATTCCTTAGTATTTCTCGGGTCCCTTTGTTTTTGTTGAAAAAGTCTTGCTAATAAGCGTCGGTCAGTTTGGCATAAAAAATGAGATATAATAAAATCCTTTTTAATAAAGCTGTTCTGTTCTCTGTGGCAAGTTTTTGTCAGTTGTATGTTTTAATCAATAACCTATCTCTTTAGGTGTGCAGTGTTTTCAATGGATTGCTGAACCGTCCAACCATACAATCACTGAATCTGGTAAAAATGTCAGTATATCCTGGCGGTACGTATTGGAAAATGGCGAGCAACCCATCAGCTCGAAGATTTACAACGACGGCGAAAAAACAATTACTATAGCGACAATGAATATACTAAAAAAAAAGTACCTTCTCAATGAAGAGTATGATGGAGCAGCGAAAGCGATTTCTGAAAATTCTACAGTGACATTGGAATTTTTCTTCATAAAAAAGAATTTGGCTGATAAAGAATTTTGTATTCATATGGCGATTTCCGTATATCGGGCGACAAAAGAATTTTCAAAAGAATATAGAAGCTGTACTAAGTTATCAGTGTATGGTAAGTAGTCTAGTAGTTTAATGTTATTTTGAAATAATAATTACTAAATCAGGGGCGGATTTAGACTAGTTCACCTAGTTTCCGGAAACTAGTCAGATTTTTCCCAAAAATATAATAAAAAGCGACAGTTCAAATAAAATTACACAAGCGGAACGAATTAGAGAGTATTTTACGGTGTACCTCGCAATACGATCGTTCTAGCCGCCATTTTGAGAATCTTACCAAAGGAAATCCACATTTACTATGATAATAGCCTGCGTGGCGGCTCTAGGGGAGGGGGGAGGGAGAAAACGGAAGGGGTGGAGAGGCGGAGCGGAAAAAAGGAGAGCCTGCCAGAACGAGCCGCTAAATCGTGTACTCGCGGCCTCCAGAGACCGCGCTTCCTGATTGGTTTAAATCAGCGCTGTGATTGACGTTTTCAATTCGCTGTCAAAATAACGATATCCAGGCTATTTCGAGAACTCTGAAAACCAAAACAACACGGAAAGATGGTTTACAAAGTCGAACTTATTGATCGCTAGATTGAAAAGTCAGTGAGGGAAAACTGTGATCTTGATCGTCCAACAAGTCGTGTGTATCTCTGTTGGATAGGCTATATAGATTCGGACTTTCATTTTTGTCATTTTGTAAAGAGTAGCATAAGTAKCTACATGTTTTTAAAATAGCATCCGTGAATGTGTATTCTACGTACAGCCAAACCTTTCAGCCGAAGTTCAAAGAGTCTTTATACTATAGAAAGATGAAGGTCAAATGTCATAACGTACATACACGAAATTCATGTGTTGCTTTGTTGAATTTGCAAGACAGTCTACCGTAGTATGTTTGCTTTTCGAAATAAGGCGCTTTGAACTATAAATAAATCTGGTAATATGAAGGTGACAAACACATAACATGAAATTGACAAGAAACGAACCATTTCCGGTTCAATGACCTCTAGTAGGCGGTACACGATTTAGCGGCTCGTTCTGGCAGGCTCTCCTTTTTTCCGCTCCGCCTCCGCACCCCCTCCCCTTCCGTTTTCCCCCTCCCCCTTCCCCTAGAGCCGCCACGCAGGCTACTATAATAACTGGAATATTGGCTGCCTTTTTGTCTAGTCGGATGGGAAAAAGTGTCTTCTCCACTCAAAAACTACCTTTGCTGGGTTATATCATTGAAAATGGAAGTATTAATCTAGACCCGGAAAGTTTAAATCCCCTATTGGAGGTTCCTCTGCCACACGCAACTCAAAGTCTCTCAATAGATGTATGAGACTTTTCTCCTACTATTCTCAATGGGTCCCTAACTTTTCTGATAAAATCAAACCAATCACCAGCTGTAAGTCTTTTCGTTGTCCTCTGAAGCGAAACAAGCATTCGAAGATTTAAAGAAGTATAATTGCCAAAGCTGCTGTCTCTGCTATATGATTGAAGCAAAGCATTATTTGCACTGATTTCTGCTGCTTGATTGGTAACGCCATTTTGTTTGTATTTCTGGACAAGTACTTCATATTCTTGCTGATATCCATCCATAACTTGGTGTTGAATTCTTGCCCAGACATCGATATCCTCCTGCTCTTCAATTGAATCAACATCACTTGAATCACTATTCTCTTCACTGCTTTCTTCKGAGGTATCGGTATGGATACTGTCAGAACTCAAATCGTCCTCCTCGCTGTGGTTAGACTGAGACATGGTGTTCCTATCGCTTTGAAGTTCAGCTCTCAAATGATAAACTTGACACAAACCCCTCTCTTTTATAGTATTAAAGATCTGTGCGCCTGCTTTTTAAGTTCTAAATAAGTTCTCTAATTGACATCGACATGACATCGACATGACGTCGACATGACATCGACATGACATCGGCATGACATCGACATCACATCGACATCGCATCGACATCACCACATCAACTAAAACAAACAAAAAAATCACATCAACTAGTTACCAGTAAAAAAGGCATTCGTTAAAGGCATGAGAAAACAGCAAGAACCATCATTTGATGCTTGCTCTTCGAACAGTTAACATGGCTTCCAGATACAAAAGGAATTGTCCTGTTTGCCACAAGCCTGAACTACAGTTCCTTAGCGATCATTTGCGGCAAGTACATAACCTGTACGGAAGCGAGAGAAAACAATGGCTTTCAATGGCTTTGTTTTCACAACAAAAAGACTATACCCATAATCCTTTGAGAAGTCTATCATCAAAGGTGAATTCAAGTCGCCCATCCATTTCAACGAACATTCAAAATGTAAAGAAACGAGCTTTGAAAAGCACCAAACCAATCTCCAGTAAGAGAAAAAAAGAAGATATTTGCCTGGTTACTGAGCCATATCCAGATTTCAAATTTCTAAAAGTTTTCACTTTTAGTTGTTGGACCAACACAAAGTGGAAAATCACATTTTTTTCAACAAATACTAGAGAAAGATTGGATTCTCTACGGAACAAGCAAAAAGCGTCGCATATTGTGGTGTTACACCCAATGGCAAGATAGCTATCGCTATCAGATCATGAAGGAAACAACAAGGAAATTTCATTTTACCAAGGCTTGCCTAACTTTACCGAAGATTCAAGAGAAATAGATTCAAGCTTCAATAACCTTATCATCCTTGATGATTTAATGGCTGAAGCTATTGACAGACCCATCGTCTCACGATTGTTTACACAGGGTCGTCATAGAAACGACAGCGTTATTCTCCTTTTGCAAAACATGTTCCCTAAAGGAAAGTACAACACTGATATAAGTCGCAATGCTCAATATATCGCTCTCTTTCGAAGTCCAAGTGATAGAAAACAAATTGGGATTGTTGCAGAGAGAATGTTTGATAAACAAAGAAATCGATTCATGGAAGCCTTTTACAGGGAAACTCAAAAACCTTTCGGTTATTTGCTCGTGGATAATAAGCCAGATACACCTGTGGACAAACAGGTTATTGGAGATATTTTCGATCAATGCTGATCCCTTTTTTCTTCCAAAGAAGATTTTGTTGTCAATTGGCTTTCTTCCGAAGTACCCATTTCTAGTAATTCATCGCATTTATCGACAAACTTTGAAACATCTTCAAAAATTGTATCTTGTTCCAAGCAGGAATCAACCAATTCTTGAAGCGCTTTATCTTTTTCGTCCGGTGTTTCCGAGTCAACCTGGAATAATAWAATATAGATAGATCAGATGACTATCATAATTTTGTTGGATAAAAAAAAATATCAAGCTCACCTCTGGTGTTAATGTCAATTCCATCAAACGATCGACGGCAGCAGGGACCAATTCACTTGGGATTTCATTGTTGAAAATAAACTGTTCAAAGCTCTCCAAAGTCTCAAATGCGGAAAAATCCATCGTAGTGATAGAAGTACATCTCCCGAGAGTTGCTTTTTATATCTTCACGTGACTCCAACAGTCCCACTATGCCCACTATATACCCACTTTATACCCGCTACACCCACTATATACCCACTATACAAACTATACCCACTATATACACACTATATACCCACTATATACCCACTATAACTACTATATACCCACTATATACCCACTATACCCACAAGGTATAATTCGGTGCACACTATACTACTAGCATCTCTGTATAAGATGAATCAAAACAAAAAGAAAACAATAATCCTTCTAAAGCATGCAAATAGAGACTCGTCGCAGATTAAAGAAGGACAGTTTCTAAATTTGGAAGACCTCAATCATCTTATTTTTGCCGCAGCAGCTGTTGTCTCAGAGGAAGCAGGAATAACACCAAAAAAGAAAAGGAACAAATAGACGCATAAACAACCGCTATGGAAAGTATGCATACAAAAACAAATTCAAGAAATGAGAGCTGAGGTGCCCACTATTAGCTGAAATCGAAATCGGCAACAATTCCGCACAAAACATCACAAGAAAAAAGAGACGTCTTGAAAGAAAATACAACATCCGATCAGAAATTGACTTCATAGAAACGAGAATAAAAATGAAAATCCAGGCAAAAGCACAAAGGCTTCGAAGATACGAAAAAAAATCGAAACAAAATGACAAAACAAAATGTTTTACGAGGATAGAAAGAAGTTGTACAGAGAAATTGGATCAAAGTTGAAAGAGTCCCAAAGAAGGAAGAAGTAGAAAAGTTCTGGAAAAACATCCTTGAAAATGACAGTACACRTAACAGTGATGCTCAATGGATAAGAAGAGAAGGTGAAAAGCATGTWGATACGCAACAACAGCAGTGGAATGATATAACGATAGATGAAGTAAAGAAAGCGATCAACAACACAAATAATTGGAAATCTCCTGGTATAGATCTTATTCCTAATTTTTGGCTGAAAAGTCTTCATAGCGTGCACAATCAGCTAGCGCAACGATTCAATGACGTAGTAAGAAATCCGGACACCGCACCAACTTGACTTACAACTGGCAGAACGTTTCTACTACCGAAGAATGAAGACACAGATCAGCCAAAAAATTATCGACCAATCACCTGCCTGTCGACAACATATAAACTCCTGACGTCAATCATTACAAATCGATGTTACAAACACCTGGACGACAACAACATTCTCCCAGAGGAATAGAAAGGTTGAAAAAGAGGGTCATACGGTTGTAAAGAGCAACTGCTTATAAATAAAATGATAATGGAGGACTGTGTGAGGAAAATTAAAAAACTAGGTGAGCCTCGGATTGACTATTAAAAAGCCTTTGACAGTGTACCACGCAGCTGGATTATTGAGACCTTAATAATCTACAAATTCAACCGGACCTTAATAAACTTCCTTGAAATCAGTATGCAACATTGGAATACCACCATACATCTTAGTAATGAAGGAGAGGATATCATCACAGGAAAAATAAGAATTAAAAGAGGAATATTTCAAGGGGACTCTCTCTCACCTCCATTTTTTTTTGTGTGGCACTTATCCCATTAACATCTGAACTTAACTCAACAGGTTTTGGCTACACCATAACCAAAGCTAGCCAAACTGTAAGCCACTTATTCTACATGGATGATCTAAAACTGTTTGCAAAAACAACAACTGGATGGTGCCCTACATGTAGTTAAGGAATTTAGTGATGACATCCAAATGCAATTTGGGTTGAGTAAGTGTGTCAAAGTGACTTTAAGGGGAGGGTGTGTAGTTAAGAGAGAAAACATAACCATTGATGTCAACACTGCAATAAAGAACCTTAACCAAGAACACACCATCTATTTCACCCCGACCTGCTCYCAGTCTGGCCTTGTAGCTCAGCTGGTAGAGCATCGGTGTACAAATCCGAAGGTCGTGGGTTCGAATCCCAGCGAGGTCGGAAATCAATTTTTCCGAATTTATTCTTAAGGGACTTCTCCCGGAATTGCCTCCTTCTAAGCACTATAACTTTCTTTCATTTCTACACCTATAAATACCTTGGAGTTGAGGAGAACGCAGGAATTCAACATAGCAAAAAGAAAGAAAAGATCAGGAAAGAATACTACAGAAGGGTTAAAATGGTACTGAAAAGTGAGCTTCATGCATAGAACAAGATCGAATCAATCAATTCTATTGCGGTGCCTGTAGTACAGTATAGTTTTGCAATCATTGACTGGAAAATAAATGAGATTGTTAAGCTTGACAGAAAGACCAGAAAGCTTCTAACCATGCACAGAATGTTCCATCCAAGATCTGATGTAGACAGGCTATATATACAAAGGAAATATGGCGGGAGAGGACATATTCAATTAGAAGCATCTTTTAAAACAGCAATGGTCGGCTTAGATTGTTATATCACGCTAAAGCAAGAGACAAAGCTAAAACTGGTTAAACATCATGACAGCTATAACTCAAAGTACTCCATCTCAAAACTGCAGCGAAAGTGAAGCAAGAATATGATCTGGTTGATGAAGAATTTAAAGAAGACAAAACACCATCTGAAAATGCCAAGGCCCTGAAGATGAAGTTAAGAGAAAAGATCTTTGAAAGTCGGAAAGAGCGCTGGGAAGCAAAACCTTTACATGGCCAGAACTGTATAAATGTGAATAAATCCTATGTTGATCAAGCAGCTACCAACGCATGGCTGACATTAGTTGATTTAAAAGGTGAGACAGAGGGTTTCATTGCTGCTGCTCAAGACCAGTCGTTATTGGCACAGAATTACCAACATCATGTCCTCAAGGATAATACCACTGATGGTCTCTGCAGACTCTGTCACAGCAAAACAGAATCAATCGACGACCATCTTCTTACAGGCTGTGAGATCCTTGCTCCTACACAGTATCTAAAGAGACCAAACAATGCCGCCTCAATCATACTTGCATTGGATACTGTGTAAGGATAACGGCATCGAGGTGACCGATAGTTGGTACGAACACGATCCTCCAAAAATTTTAAGGAAAGACCACATCACCATCATGTGGGACTGCCAAATCATCACAGAYAGRASAATTAAAGCAAACAGACCGGATATAGTGGTCAAAGACATTAACAACATTAGAATATGCCAACTCATCGATGTGTCAACTCCATCTGGCAGACACATCTGCCTCAAACACCACGAAAAAATGAGCAAGTACAAAGATCTTGAAATAGAGATGAGCCGTATGTGGAGCGTAAACACCCAAGTTATAGCAGTCATCATAGGGGCTCTACGAACGACTAAAAACGGGACAACTGAATTTAACAATTTAACAATTTAACAAAGATGTACTGGGTTTTCCCAGTTCCCATTAAGGTGTTTCGATCGTATATTAATAAAAAACACTTCGCGCGTATTTTTAAACGCCAGCTACGTCGCAAATTTCAATTCGATTGCACTCAAATTTTCACAGAAGTAACAGTAAGTATCAGTTATTCTTGTTGATAAATTGTTTGCCAAAAAGCGAAGCCATTTGGATAAACCGATGCAAAATAAAAGCACCTACATTTTTCTTCAAAGTTAATTTTCTCGAAACTCATCGCAGAAATTGTAATAAAATTTTCAGGATAATTTCTTAATAACATAGTTCACCTACTGACGAAGTTTGAATAAAATCTTAACCTAAATTTTCGAGATATTTTTTAGTATTTCAAAATGTTGCTCGAAACGATGATGCCATGTTTAAAGACAATTGTTTGTCACAATATTCGAATGTTAAATGAAAAAACTACTTAAGCTTAATACCTTAATCTTTCGTACAACTGTTTTTCAAGGCACATACCCATGAGTTTATTACGAAAAAAGTTCTTGTCATTTACGCAACTATAGTATATTTTCGAAATTTGAACAACTTCCTTTTTGGAGCCTAAAAGGATCTTTCCTCCTTAAACAGAACGTGTTATCACTCAAATAACCAAATTACATCCCAAACAAACACTACCAGCTATATTTGAGCTTCCGAAAGGGCTACATTACGACAAGATAGTTTTTGAAAGTTTTCGACCTCCATTATCCAGCCGTTTGTTAACAAATCAGCTTTATGTTAATTTAACTGCGTGAATGTAAATAATTTTGCTCAGATATCTCGAAAATTGAGGTTAAGATTTCATTCAAGCTTCGTCAGTATGTCAATTATGTTATTAAAAAATGATTCTGATAATTTTATTACAATCTCTGCGATAAGGTGTTTTTATTTTGCATCGTTTATCCAAATGGCTTCGTTTTTTGGCAAATTAATTTATCAACAAGAATAACCGATAATTACTGTTACTTCTGTGAAAACATGAGTGCAATCGAAAGTGTTATTTATCACGATCGAAACACCTTAAATTTTGACAGCTGCGACAAATGTTTGTGCTAAAAGGCCTGCCTTGTTCCTTGTGTGTTTGCCTCTTGCCTTAATAACTAAAATGTTATTTATACGCTCTTCTTTATAATTTTACAATTTCCAAAAGTTCATCCAAGAATTGTATATCACTCGCACAACATAATCAAACCTAATGGTAGCACTGTGGAACTGAAATGCAATGCAACTGGCGATCCAGAACCATCAATTACCTGGACAAAAGTGACAAATAACTCCGTATTGACAAATTCTTCACTGATGACAGTGAATATCACTCAACAAGCATTTGGAGAATACTGCTGTATTGCAGACAACAAATACGCAAATGATACATATTGTATAACGATTGGAGGTATGGTGCTCTTGTTCTACATAAATTTAACAAATTTCGTCGACTTAGTCTTGCGGGTGGCTAAAAATTTTAAATCATAACTAAATAGAGATCATGATCAAAATTGAGATTTTTTTAGTACAATTATGGTTAATAATTTTTTCGCTTTCTGACTTGTTGCATAAAAATATAGAACTGAAAAGAAAGAAAAAAATTGAAAAAAACTAAAACATCTTATAGAAAACTCACTACCATGGTATGTACTTTTATTTATCACGGACATCAACCAATCAGAAATCAAGAATATTTACAATTTTGGAAAAATTAGTATTTAGACGAAAAACTTACATTTCCATGTTGGAAAAGTTTCTTTTGCTGTTGAAATATTTTAAGTGAACATTCCTCGTTTACCTGGATTGAGCTGTATAAACTGAAGTTGCATTATTCGTCAATTTCTTGCAGATCCACTATTGTCGAATACTGCGCCAACTAATTACACAATGATAAACAACAGCGTGACTATTATTTGTCTGGCTACAGGAATCCCAATTCCTACAATAGAATGGACTAACCTTTCAGGCAATATAATCCACCAATCAAAAGATGGCAATTACACTATTCCTTTTAAACAATGCAAAAATGAAACATGGACATATTACTGTAGGGCGTGGAGCATCACGGGAAAAACACCGAATAAAAAAATCAGTGTATACGGTAAAATTATGATAAAAATGATTGTTCCTAGAAAATAGGCATATTTTGCATTCGGACACGTGGTTTCATAGATTTTTGTATTACTACGTTTTGCCGAAAATCGTGTAATGTTTGATCTTTGTGATTGTATTTCTTTATAGTGAATACCATGATGCAACATTGTAAACAAACCTCCACAGGTAAGACATGAACTATTGACTGTGAACTACGAGGTAAGCATTAGCCTTCGATCCCGTCGGTCTTAATTCCATTAAAACGATCCAGTATCGCAGGAAATTATTGTTAACAAACAGAATATTTGGATCTCTTTTTGACACCTCAAACAAAAAAATCCTCACATCTCACGAGAAGGAAATTAAAATCAAGTGAATAAACATTAAAAATTTGCTAATCAGCCTAATGACAGGAAGCAGATGCGGCGGCGATTTGTTATTAAGTAAATGCAAATACTTAAAACGTGAAACTCAATAATTAATTGTGCT